TTCAGTTGCATGGAAGATCTTCATTCGGGCGTTTTTAAACTTTGGAATGCCTTATTTTGCTGGAATGCAGGAAATTGGTGTAGGTGCCAAATGTGCCTGTAGGCGAGCATTCGGTCATCCCTTGCAACGCTGTAGTAGTAGGTTCAAGAAAGAAAAGTTGCTACTTTTTCAGTAAACGTCCAGATGAATTTGCAAGAACAGCCACATCAGCACAGATCAAAGCTCCACCTAGCCTAATGCCCGATCTACCACCCCGACCAACAGCAGGTGGTACAGTGGGTAGGAATAAGACTGGCATATAGTTGTATTTCCCCAAAATTCACTTCCAGCTCCCAGCCATTTGTGGCTTGAGAGTTTTCTAGCAAAATATATTTGAAAAATTAAATAGGACAGCCCTTTCCTTTCCACGGGTACCACTATAGGCATAGGCCAGCTCATACGTCATGATTAAACTCACAGTGGTTGTTCCCAAACTGAGTTTAATTTTCAGGTTTGCTTATTTGTTGAAGACCTGAACAAGGGCTTATGTGTCTGAAATATGATCTGTTTTTTCCAGCTATACTCAGATCTGCTGAAAGATACTTGTCTTCATGTAAACTTGAAGGCTGCATTTTTCTGTGGGCGTTCCTGAACTGAGGTGGACCGTTTTGGGAGTCCATTGAAATAGATATGCTAATGTATATATATCCTGCATTGTGTAATTAGGAACATATTGTATCCTTTCTTTAAAACATTGCATGTTCAGTTCTGCCACAAGCAAGAAAGAAGAGACTTTTCTTTTGTGGATCTTTGTTCTAGAGTCCTTTGTTCAGATTGGTCTATTTCTATCTTCTAATGTTTAGAGTATTTGAAGATTAAAGCAGGGCTTAAAAAGTTTGATTAAAGCAGAACATAATTGCTGGGGAATGGAATTTTGGAAAAGTAAACTTTTTCAGTATATTTCCTGTTAAGGTAAGTACTGAGTTTTGGGGTGTGTACATGGCACAAGTTGCAGCTAGTACATCTGTTTGAAATGAAAATTATAGTAAGTTGGGGGAAAAAAACTTTTCCTGTTATTAATTTTTGCGCAATGCCAATCTTTTAATAAATCTTACACACTGTTGTAGCAGCTGCACAGGTTTTACCTGCTTTGAAACAGGAGGATTCATGGAGAGTTATTGTTGCGTTGCAATGCAAGTATTGTAGAATTCCATTTAATTATCACACTGGGTTTTCAGCCCACGTGAGTGCTAGTTTGTCAGGCTCCTGAGCCAAGAACTTTTGTTTTCTTGTCTGTACTAAAGGTCAATCAGAAATTGTTCATATTACCTCAGTTCCAGCCTTCAATAGTTTGTAAATTAAGTGTAATATCAGTAATATTTTGTGCTCTTTCTGGTTTTAACTATTAAAGAAATATTTTGCAAGATATATGTTCTTTCAAAATAACTTCATTTTCCTTTTCTAACATACAAATCTTTAGCTGAGTTCAACACTGTATGCAGCTGATTATGTTAATGGTTTGATACCTATTGAGCAGAAGTAATGAATGAAATAGCAGAATTTTCCATCTGATTTGTTGCAGGGTATTTGCAACAGGAAAAACTTCTAGCTACCTGCCGTGAATTTATTCTGGAAAGCTCAGATTTGAAAGAATATGCAGAGCACTGTACAGAGGATGGGTTTATTCCAGCCTGCTTGCTGGTGAGTTTGTTTTTGCAAAGCAGAAAGTTAAATTGTCTTGCATCCATGGAAAAGAAAATTGAGATTTCTCAGTGTAACAATTAGATCTCAAACGCTCCGTAAAATGTTAGTTAGATCGTCCCCTCTGGTTTTGTTTTTTTGTTGTTTTTGTGGGGGTTTTTTTTGCATCCTGTGGTATTAGCAGTTATTTGGTTTCTAGTATTTAGTCTTACTAAGAAACATTTAAGTGTAAAATATGCAAAGTGGTGTCAGCATATTACGTTTAGTCTGCTTTATAGCTTTGAGGTTGATTCATGGAAGGGTGTCACAAGGGTTTTATTGATTTCAGGGCTGCTCTTGTAATTTGTTGGAGAGCGCTTTCCTATCCTAGACACAGCAGCCAGTAATGTTCCATTTCAAGTACATGTTAAATATTTCAGTAAGGTACCTCAGCTTTGTCTAAGGCTTCCAATTTTTGTTGACAAAAACTATCTTTCTGTTCAGGTTCCTCTTTGATCCTCTGCTTTGTCCCAGGTGAAATGTGGAACTTCGTGTATGCATAAAGACAGTGTGTAGCTATATATGTAGATATGTGCATATAGCTACAGGGTAATTGGATAGTTCGCATTTGTAACGTACACAAAATGGGATTTTTAATGTAGTATGCAAATGACAGAGTTTAGATATTGTTGTATATCAACCTTTTAATGTTTATATGTGCATCTTCATCCTGTTTTCTGTTCCATTCTTCTAATGTATTCGTTAATTATATGGTCTGGCATTTT